AGGAACCAGACCTCACGCATCCCCGGCGTGTGTGTGTGTGTGTGTGTGTATGTGTGTGTAGGGGTACCAGGAACCAGACCTCACGCATCCCCGGCCCATCCCTTCTGTTTCTTTATTGAGACAGTGTCCTGCCAAAATACCCAGGTGGGGCTCCAACTTGCCATCCTCCTGCCTCAGCCTCCCGGAGTGCTGAGAACACAGGCACGTGCCACCACACCCGACGCCCTCCCCTGAACCCTGGGATCCCCTCCCCCCTCCCATCCGCGGCTTCATGGCCGAATGTCAGCAACCACAGGCCACCCGTGCCCTCCGTGTCCCCAGAGTGCCAGCCCCGCCAGCTGCCCTGAGGCCCTGTCTAACTCTGGTCCCGAGGGACACTCAGTAGGACCCCACAGGTCTTGGACCTGAGCTCCCACATCGCCCCTGGGTCACGGTTGCCTAGCACGCCCTACCCCGGCTGGGGCCAGCTGTCCTGTGGCACCCTGGGTAATCACCGTGGTCCCGCGTATCGGGGCACCTTAGAGCTGACAATCGAACGGCTCCTACGACACGTCCCCTCCCAGCCCGAGGACTTCTGAGTCCACGATCACCCCGGCACGCTGGGAGGCTGAGGCAGGAGGATCACAAGTCCAGCGTAGCGTGGGCAGCTTAGTGAAACCTTGTCTCAAACAACACAGCAGAGCGCGGAGAGGAGCTCAGTGCGAAGGCCCCGGGCCGCCCCGCGGTCGGCACCCCGGGAGGACAGGCGCTGGGGAGCGGAGGAGGAGCCGGATGGGGTGTGGCCCCAGTGGCTCTGTTCCCGTGAGAGACCCGGCCGCCGCCCCAGCCCCGCAGCGAGGCAATGCAGCACGGGGCTCCGGGCACACGGCGCAGCTGGGCGCCGACCCCTGTCCCCGCCAGGAGTGGCCCACGGCCCCTGCCCACGCCCCGCGTCGGTTTCCCCTGAAAAGTCTGGGCCGCCGTGGGGTCCGGACCGCGCTCCCCGCCCGGCTGCTGTGCGACCCGGGCGAAAGTACGGCGGCCGCCCTCGGTGGCGGGGAGTGGCCACGCCAGCGGCCACCTGCAGGTCCCCGCCCGGCCCGCTTCTGCTTTCTGGTCCCTCTAGCCAAAAAGGGGTCGTGGGGCGCAGGGTGGGGTGCGGAGGGGGCCTCTCCGTCCCCTCCCGCCTGGCACGCAGGCTGCGCCCCGGGGCTGGGGACCCCGGCCCGCGTCCCGTCCCGGGCTCTGGCC